CCGACAGACCTACAGACCGACAGACCGACAGGTAGACCGACCGGCAGACTGTTAGACAGACAGACTGACAGACCGACAGATCAACAGTTTAACAGAAGGACAGGCAGGCTGACAGACAAATAGACAGACAGATAGGCCCATGCGACAGGCCAAAAGGTCTATCCGAAAGACCGAAAGACTAACAGACCGGATATAGCTTGACAGCCAACTAACCAATAGGGTGAAAGACCACTTGACTCGGCTAACAGACTGTAAGACTAACAGACAAATCAGACAGACCGTGGGGACAGACAGAAATTCATTCATTTATCTATCAGTCCGTCTATCGATCCATCTTCTCATTGATTCATGGTATATATTCATTGATAACTCACCTCGTTACAGGATGTTCCAATTCCATGGAAATCAATCTTGAATTCTCTTCCAGTGTGGGCAATCGTTGTGGCGCATTTTTCGCAAGCGTGGGGAGCATACACCATGATTTCAGAGCTTCCTTTATTTTTTACTCAACTTTTTGATTTTGGTCTCGAAAAGGTAAGATGGAGTAAATCAGTAAAAAAAATAATAAAACCTTGTGTCAAATAATTTAGCTTAAACAGACTAAGTAGGGACACTTCTTAGAAATGAAATTAAAATTGTATATTATCCTAAAAAATGACAATATTTAGAGAGGAAGCCACATCAACATTAACAGGTTTTCATGTGGGTCCTCTATCTTAATCGAATTGGAATTTGGAGTGCTGTTTTCCGTTTTTGTGGAGGGAGGAAAACCGTGAAAAACCCTCGGAGCAAGGCGAGAACCAGCAATAAGTCAACCCACATATGGCATCGGGCCGGATGAATCAAACCCGGGCCACATTGGTGGAAGGCGAGCACTCATCCCTGCTTCCTGATATAACACCAAATTCTCAGAGCTATCAATAGAAGAAATATGCGACAACCGTTAAGCAGAATTCACATGTTGATCGTGGTATTGTATTCAACAGCTAAAGATGATTGATTTTTCTTTACAGACATCTATTGCATCCTCTATACCTTATGTGGTGACGTTCTTTGTAACGTTGCTTTCTGGAATAGTAGCGGACTATCTTCGCAAGCATTATCTTACAACAGGAACAGTCAGAAAGATATTCCATACAACCGGTAAAACAAAGCTTTAAGACTTCCCTGGAGTTTTCTGTATGGCATTGACGAGGATGTTCGTATGCCTTGAATGAAATAAGTCAAGCTCCTAGAAATTGTGTAGACAGAAACAACCGAATCATTTCAAAAGAGTGATGTTAGCTTATCGTCCTTACGTAAAAACGCAAAAATTTCAACAAAATTTCTGTCTGAAACTTCCGTGTGTCTCTGATCACAGTGAAGGAAACGATGCATCTATACATATGATTTAGAATTCTGCTACACCATATGTACAGCCGGAAAAAAAAGAAAGAACTCTGCCTTCAAGACGATAGACGAGATAGAATACCAGGTTGGTTTGTAACTCTGATTTCCGTAGAACAAATCGACTGGTAGATTGCTACTCAGTTTTCTTAGGGATGTTACTCCCGGCCGAGGCAGATTACACATAGAATGCCCGATTTCCCGCAGAAATCGGCGGTACTCATTCAGTTTAGTCTCTGATGTGGAGAGCGACGGACAAAGTAAAAAAAAAAATTTCTTGCCAAAGATTAAACAGTGTGCACGTGATCCCAAGCTGGGCTCGAACCAGGACCGCTTGATCCGGAATCCAAAGGTCAGATCCCACGCTGAATTAGTTCAATGTTTTGTTCGTTTCTGTTTTACTTTAGGTTCTGTTGTTCCGGCTCTCCTCCTCGTAGCATTAAGCTATTCATTTAACTCTGACCTTGTTGTGGTACTTCTCACTCTGGGAGTGGGACTTCAAGGATTAACAGTCAGCGGCTTCGCTGTCAATCATCTTGATATAGCTCCGTCTTTCGCCAGTGTCTTGCTTGGAATAACAGACACTGCAGCAACAACAGCGGGAATTTTGACGCCTACCCTGACGGGAGTTATCGTCCAACGTCATGTAAGTACTGTGAAATGGGCGCCATGTAGCCACAGTACGACCTTCATGATACCCCCGATCAGAATCTAGGAAAGGCATCATATCACCAGTGGACAGGCTTGTTCCCAGCGCTCTCCTCTTGAAACTTCAATGGTTAAGTCCTGGGTGCAAGGTTGACCAGTAGGATCCGCATCCGCCAGTACCACCTATACGTAGTTAGTATACTTGCCTGGATTTATGAAAACGGTGTTTCTTAAGTCGGTGATGTCAAAATCCAAACGAATGTCAGTCGTCTTTTCCTCCCACTCTCTCTCTCTTTCTCTCGCTCTCTCTTATCTTCCTTCCATTTTTTAAATTGCTGCCGGTTTAATTTAAAAACTCCAACAGTCATCCCATCACCATCAGTATTATATCGGACAACAAGCTTTGTAAGTTACCCTCAAGAAGTTGTCTTTTTTTTTGTTTCAACAGACTGCCTTAGAATGGAGGGTCGTCTTCTTCATAACCGGAGCGGTTTATCTTCTTGGCTCCATATTCTATGTACTGTTTTCCTCAGGAGAAAAACAATCATGGGCTGTGAACAATGAATATGATAAGTTGTCTGAGAAGGACTCAGACATTGACGAAATGGCCGAGATGGGCTACTGATGGCATCGACAAAGTCAGGTTACACAAACTGAAAAAGAAGTTGACGTTTTAAGGAAGATTGACAATATGTCCTATCACAAGCTTATACAGGAACCTATTGCCGTTGATCCTACGGAACCACACAGTTAGAAAAGACTGGGAACTAGCTCGGCGCGTTGGCATGTTTGCGATCTTTTGGGTCAGCGCATAAATAGATAGCGATTCTAAGCTAGACTGTTTCTCCAGTCGTAGTGTGAAAACCAGTATATCTGTTGCACAAATCGCTGATTGATTGACAACAATCAAAGCTTAGGAACCCGGAACCAAAGCAATACCAGAAGCCATTGCACCACTGGCTTCGGCGTGATTATCCCAGAAGCCCTTGCGCCATGGAGCTTCTTGAACCGCCTTGCCGCAGTGCGTTCAAGAGATAGTCAGTGCCCGAGTATGAGTATACTACAACCTTTTAACAAAATAAGAATTTTAAAACAACATAATAATAACAGAATAAACAGACGATGAAATACAAAGTGAGCTCCAAGTATTTCTTCTCTGTTCCTCACATTCTCGTTGAAGCCCTGTTTTAACACGAGACAATTAAAATTGTCTCTTTGGCGTGCAAAGCCGTCACGCATCAAGAAGTAAGCTGGCGTGACAATTCTTAATAAAGTAAATTGATACATATTTGCGGATAAATCACACCCGGGACATGTCAGGGCAAAGATAAAAGCAAGTTGCAGAAGCTATACATTATTCATTTTTGGTGCAATTTCAGCTTTTTGAAAAACTTACAAGTGCAAATTAATTCCAAATTGAACTAGAAAAACCGTATGATTACTTATTAATAATATAAACATGAAAAAAAATTGCGTAGAGGAAGTGCCGGAAGACCTTTCTTGAAGACATGTTTTCTCATTCGAGAAAACTTTTTTCAAAGTTTCCCCCCCAAAATTTTCGGCCTCATTTTACGTAATATCATTGTCTTCTAAAATTTCCTATTGTCTTTCAGCCAATCATAATTCAGAATTACGATGTGTAATTTGCTCTGGGGTTACATTTTTTTCACCGGTGTTACACTTTTTGCACTGGTGTTACACTTGAACTGCACTGCTCTCAGCCAATCAGAATCGAGTAATTTTTTCATGTATATTATTAGAGTTGGAACGTGACCTACCATATCAGGCCCCCCATATGAGACCCCCATATCAGACCCCAACTTACAATATGAGACCCCGACCTACCATATCAGAGCCCGATCAAATCAGTCGGGTTTAACTGTTTTATGTTAATTGTTGTGCCAAGTAATTAAATACAGTAATTCTTCAGTAGTGTATTGAAATTATCATGAAATATGGCTATTACGAATAACAAAGTGCAAGTTCACCCGGAAGAGAAAGTCGCCATTGTTGCTACTTCTTTTCCAGCCTATAGACTTCTTCTTACCGTATTCTGGCACTATTTTTTAGGAAATATATAAATGAAACATACTTTGAAAATATATTTTTGAAGCTAGCATCGGTCCAAAAACGCTGTAAGATAGTTATAGCTGGTTTTC